GGAAACTCGGACGGGAACGGGAAGAAGGACGGGAAAAGCGGCCGGTAATTTTTGGGTGATATGGAGATCCCGTCCTTTGAGCCCGCCTTTGATCTTGAAGAACGAAACTGAGAAGCCAGGACTTTTGGACGGACGCTACATCTTTCTGTGGTGAATATCATGATGCATGCAAGTTTAAAACCGGCCGGTGATTTTTTGATGATATGGAGCTCCAAATCCTTTGAGCCCGTTCTTGACCTTGAAGGGTGACCTTGAGAGGTCTGGACTGTTAGACGGACGCTAGTTTTTTTTTCTGTGGTGAATATTTTAATGTTTGTAAGCTGAACATCGGTTGGTAATTTTTTGGTAATATGGAGTTCACCGTCCTTTGAGCCCGCGTTTGACCTTGAGAAGTGATCTTGAGAGATCAGGACTTTTTTACAAACGCTAGTTCTTTCTGTGGAGAATGTTCTGATGTTTGCAAGTTAAAAATCGACCTATAATTTTTGGGTAAAATGGAGTTCCCCGTCATTTGAGCCCACGTTTGACCTTTAAGGGTGACCTTAAGAGATCAGGACTTTTTGACGGATGCTACTCTTTCTGAGCTGAATTTTCTGATATCTGTAAGTTTTTTTACTGGCTGTAATCGGCCAGTAATTTTTTGGTGACTTGGAGTTCCCTGTCCTTTAAGCCTGCGTTTGACCTTGAAGGGCGACCTTGAGAGGTCAGGGCTTTTTGGTGGACGCTGGTTCTTTGTATGGTGAATACCCTGGTGTTTTTAAGTTTGAAATCGGCCGGTAATTTTTAGATGATGCGGATTTCCCCGTTCTTAGAGCCCAAGTTTGACTTTGAAGGGTGACATTGAGAGGTGAGGACTTTTCACGGACGCTAATTATTTTTGCGGTGAATATTCTGATGTTTGTTAGTTAAATATTGACCGGAAATTTTTGGTTGATATGGAGTTTCCCATCCTTTGAGCCCATGTTTGACCTTGAATGGTAAATTTGAGAGGTGAGGACTTTTTGAGGGACGCTAGTTCCTTCTGCGGTGAACATTTTGATGTTTGTAAGAAAAAAATCGTCCGGTAGTTTTTTGGGTGATATCGAGCTCTCCGTCCTTTGACCCAGCTTTTGACCTTGAAGGTCACGGTATACTGCAAAATAAGGGTAGTTTTTGGTGTTCTCATGCCATAATTGACCTTAAGACCCTTTTTCAGAGTAATCAGAAGTCGTCGCTGAAAAAATCGATGAATAAATCGCTAACTTCACGGACATCCACCCACGTTGGTCTCGGTTTGCCTACCAGAACACATTAACCATATGACCATCTGCCTGCTTCTTTGGTGTAGGGTCCCTTCAATTCTCTGTCATTAGCTTAGGGCTCCAGGTCTTGTCGGGAGGCGATTGTGATGATTGGAATTTTAGGGTGCGCCGACTTCTGGGGTCATTTTGCGGGCATAATAGCTAAGTGTTTACCGAGGTGTATCAATGGCTGTGAATCCTACGGTTCTCAAAAATGAAAACAGCTGTCAGGTGCCAAGCATGCGAGAATCGTCACCAATAAGGTCTGAAAAGGTAAGACCTGACACATTTCGTCCGGAGTTAAGTGCCCGCTCTTCGTTGAGGTGTAGGCAGGAGTAAACAACGTGGCGAACCGTGAGTGGCGCATCACAACAAGGGCATTTAGGCCGTTCTCCACCACACAAAAGGCAGCTATGTGTTGCGTGCGTGTGGCCAACTGGTAATCTGCTGAGGGTTACTTGTCCGCGTCCCAACTTACGTGAGCTTGACGGCCATGGATCCAATTGTGGCTTGATCACCCTTAACTTATCGCTTACAAAGGTGTCCCATCCGCGTTGCCATTTCTCCTTCACAAAGGTCGCAATGGCAGGGTAAAAGTCCCTTGCCGGCAAGGGTAAAGAACGGGTGCGAGGTGCACGCGCTGTCCGTTTTCCGGCCGCGTCAGCACGCTCGTTACCTGCGATAACCACATGACTCGGTATCCAACATAAGACGACAGTTTTAGCAGCAAGATACAACGTTGTCAGGCGAACTAAAATATCCTGTATAATGGGACAAGGTGGATAAAAGACTGTCAGGGCCAACAGGCTGCTCAAATAATCGGATAAGATCACGTGTGAGCTGCTCTCACCAACTTCGATGAAGCATAGGGCTTTACTGATTGCAACGAGCTCGGACGTGTAAACTGAGGCGTGTTTCGGTAAAGAAAAGGGCCGGGTGGCTTGGTCATTTACAAACGCGGCACCAACGCCCACCTGCGTTTTGGACCCGTCAGTATATGTGGCTTGAAAACCTATGTACGACCCGATGTGCTCCAGAGCCTTCGATCTTAAGTAGCGTAGGATCGCTCTCTGTTTGCTGGTGCATCAAAGGGATACATCCACTTTTGGTGAGATTAGCTCCCATGGACGCACTAAGCCAGGACGTGATCTTAGCACACCACGCAGACTTATGTCGCTTTCCCCGAACAGCTTCTCCATATGGACACCAAATGGAACAGCGGGCGGCCTTCCGCTACTTTGGAACTTGCTTTCCACATCACGTGAAACAAATGCTCAGTGGGTCGGATGGTTCGGAAATTGAGCCAGCTTGCAAAAGTACTATAGGCCAAGCATTTCCCTTCTCAGTGCCAACGCGGCTTCATTAACTTCCACGGTAAGGCTAGCAACTGGCGACGTCCTGAGTGCCCCCGTCACAATGCGTAATGCGGTATGGTACACGGTGTCTAACAAACGTTTGCAGGAACCCGGCGCGCGGTCATAAATAAAACAGCCATAGTCAAGTTTCGAACCTATAAGTGAGCGGTATAGCAGAAACAGTGTTTTTCTGTCCGCTCCATAACATGTTCGAGACACATACTTCAATATGTTCAATGCTTTAAAGCAGTATCACGTCGGGTTTTCAGATGTGACCCATACGTTAAATGATTATCAAACTGCAGACCCAGGAAGCGGGTACTGGATTCGTTCGGGATGGTCTGACCGTATAGCCTTAAAGTCATGGCGGGGCATTGACGACGTCGTCTGCAAAAGTGCATAGCGACTGTTTTCGAGGTTGAGAAGCGGTGTTCGTTTACAACACTCCATCTTTCCAGGCTGATCACAGCCAACTGCAAGCGACGCTTCAAAGAAGCAAAGTTTGACGAGGCGTACCAGGTGGCGACATCATCCACGAAGAGAGAGCGACTGACCAACTTTGGAAGGGAGTCACCAAGATCGTTTATCATTACAGCGAACAAAGCAACGCCCAGAGCACTGCCTTGGAGCACACCATTATCTTGTTGGTACCTATCCGAAAAGTGTGAGCCAACACGAACTCTGAAAAAAACGATCGGCCATAAAGTTCGCTAAAAACGTGCCCATGGCTCCTCGAATGCCATAATGGAATAATTTTTTCAGGATGCCGTAACGCCACGTCGTATCATAGGTTTTTCAGCATAAAAAACACGGCGCCAACATCTCGTTTTTCCCTAAAACTGGTGCGGATGTTTGAGTCGAGAGCCATAAGATGGTCAATAGTACTGCGATTTTTCCCAAATCCACATTGAGCAGCCGTAAAACGTTGTACCGCCCCAAAAAACACGACAAACGTACATTTGCCATACGTTCCATCAACTTACAAATGCATAATGTCAGTGAGATAAGGCGATAGTCGGCAGGGTCAGCCCCACTGTTGCCAGGCTTAAGCATAGGGACAATGTGTGATTCACGCCAAGACTCCGGAAAACCTTCATTCGCCCAGAGTTTGTTGTACGTTGCCAAGAGGGCCTCAACTACTGAAGTGGGGAGTTACTTAAGCGTGGCGTTGTGAGCTAGATCCGGACGCTCTGCCACATTGCGCAGCGATCCGATCGCGGAAATTAGTTCGGCCATTGTAAAAGGTCGGTTGTACGACATCTGTTCCGTCGTGGTGAAGTCGACAGGGGATGCCTCGCAGCGGATCCGGTGACGTATGACTGTGGGACGGCATTGCTGTTACCACACCGTTCGGAAAATGCGCGGACGATTTCATTTGCTACGTCAGCTGGGTGTACAATGTCACGTCTATTGATACGGAGCACAAGGTGTGGTACAGACGGGTGCCGTTCCGCAGTGCGTTTGATCCGTTGTCGGGGGCGGTCTGTTCACCTGCTTCTGTATACTCGGTCGCTCGGGCCCTCCAAATTGGGTCTTGGGTGCTTCCTATTGGAATGGAGGGCCTTGCGCACTTGGAGATCTGTTAACCTGCTCGGGCACACTGGATTGTTGGTGGGCCCTGCACATTGGGTTTTGGTATTTGAATCTAGGGCTCCACGCTCCTGTCGGGGGCCATCTGATAGCCTGCTGGGGTACGGTTGGTCTTTCAGGGCCCTCCATACTGGGTTTCGGATGCTTCGACACGGCCCCATCCTCACCTTGCCGTCAACGTGTAGGTAGATTTATGTGGCGCGTGATGCTTTCTCTCTAGACGCTATTTCACACTCCGCGCGTTTCGCGTGTTGGTGACGTCAATCACAGCTTTTGACAGATTTCATTTGTGCGTGCAGGCTGTGTCACCAGTGACTTCATTAGCTGCTGGCATGCCCTCCGTGAATCCCGGGCTTCCATTAACAGTTGAGACGTTTGGAAAAGCAGCAACTTGGAAAGTACGGCACAATGGTTTAGTTTCCTATTCAGCGCTCAGCGAAGGAGCTTTACCCCCCCCCCCCCCCCTCTCCCCCAACATGGCATCCAGCCTTCCCGACTTTGAGAGGAAGGTGGGCCAAAGCCGGAAAGACGAAAATACAAATTTTGCAGCAAAAATTTGGGGATACGGTTTTTATACTTTTACATGATTCTGAGCCCTTCTCCTAGCTCACTTTGCGAAACTACGTCCGGGCACAGTACTTTTTCAAACATTCATTTCCACTCGTTTCCGCTTCCCGCAAGAAGCCCAAATCGCTTCGCAATGGCGTCATCATCAGCTGATGCGTGTATACACGAACACACTTCCTTGAGCAGACGTACTGCAGTTCGTGGGCGGGCGCTGTTATTGGTGGCATGTTGCGTGATATGGGTGGGGTGTTGGGTCTTGCATATTTTTTCGGAAACAATATCTGTTGAGTAACGTATCGTCCAGCTTTCAAGAAAATCGTATGATTTTCACCCAGCTTTGAGTAACCTGAAAGAAAGTGCCGTCGTCTTGGAGAGTACTCGTTGTTGGTTTGCAGTCACATTTGCGTGTACAGAATAACGAACCATTGTCAAACACAAGCACAGGTTCGTTTTTGTCAGTTGGCCATGCATTTTTGCCTGTGCTGTGGTGCCACATGCATCTGTGGCAATATTAGATGTTGTCAGTAGAAATTTTATCCCATATAGACAGTTTTATTCTGATAGGTAGGGCAAATGTCAGTGAGGATGTTGGCGACTGCTCCCATTCTAGCACCCTGAAGAGGGGTGTTGTGAGGGGCTCCTTACTGCAAAAAACACACTACTGCAATGTGTCAGACATGGCAAGAACATTTAATAAAAACTTAATATGCTGTGAATCCATTAATCCAAGCACTTGAGGTGTGGTGCATAAGCACCCCCAATTTTATTGCATTAAGGATAAATGCTTGAAGAAATGAATGCTTAGTATTTTTCTGATAGGCCTTAAAGCATGATGCTCAATTTTTTTCATTAAAAAATCATTTTCATTTTCAGCACAAATTGCCTAGCCTGAGAAAGTTTCAGCACATAAATGGTGTGCAGACTTCCAGGGTAGTGAATGAGCTTTTTTGCAGAGTACAGACCATTGCCTCAGAGGCCTGGGCAACACTATTATTTGGGTGGCTTAAGTATCAACACAGTGGGAATGTGGCTGGTGCTAAGGATAATGCATGTGTTATGCTCGTGTTCGTTCTGGTTTTTACTTGTTCAAAAAGTCAGTCTGTCTTCAAAAATATTTTGTTATTCCAAACACCAGGCAATCTCCAATCTCAGCAACTCTCGCCACACCCCTATCCTGGCACCTCCCTGTGCCCGCCAGAACTGCTCAGCTGATCGCACCTGCTCAGCTAAGCCCTGACTGCTACACAAGCTTTGGGGTAGAGAAATATGATCTGCCCTGATATTATCAATATATTATCACCCTTAACTGATGATGCCTGTGATCCTGAGAAGAAATAACCTGGCTGAATCCTTCACATATTTATGTAGTTGGGTGTAATAAATTGACTGGCCTGTGGGGGAAGCAAGTGCCATCTTTTCAGTTATCCATGTCAAAAATTTAAATTAGAGTTTTCAACAAACAACAAAGAGTTTCAACATTATGAATGGAAAACTCACACTAGGATGTTATGTTCAGGGAATGCATGTTGCCACCAGGTGTGCAACATAATGCTCTGAGAAAGTCTGCAATCCTAAATGCACATGGAGTGCCCAAACAAATGTGTGTAAAGGCTAAGGCCTGTATCATACCATATATGTCATGTCATGTGCCATATACTGCAGGTCACTGGTGCATGCAAGGCAACACAACTTTGCTCATTGCATTTGAGGCTTAAGTGGCAATATGATTCTTATATGGATGGTGCCAGACCCCTAGGGTTGGCACCCTCACTGGCACCCAACTGTGCCTTTTGAGGGCAACAGGCATAGGCCGATCTTGGTTGTGTTTAAAGGGCCTCTTGGTGTTGTGGCTTTGATTTTTGACATTGACATTGTGGCATGACAGAGAGAAAACCTGAGTTGGGGCACTTGAGGTCCTCCTAGTTTTTTGGTCTGTTTCCAGGCATCTACATTTCCAAAATAGGGCACAGAGTGCTGGCCTATGTTCTTCTTCCTTGTGTATGTCTGCTAACAGTGGACACTGCCATGGGTTGTGTGCATGTGTAAAAAGATAATGCTGTGTGCATGTAAGGTGGTCTTGAAATACATATTTTTGTGTGGGATATGTATTGGCAGATGCCTAACATGTATCTAGCTTCTGTATTGCAGTGCTATCCAAATTATTTAGCTCAATAGCTACTTAACTAACAACAATATGATTCACTTGTTGATTTATTAGCCTGTAAGTTATAAGGATGTGAGTGATCCACGTCATGTACAACCAGAAACAATATATTTGAAGAAATGGCATCAACCATTTCCTTTCAAGCTGGCAGCTGACCTGGTGTCTGCTCCTCAGCCATGTCGCAGCTGGGCCGGTTGATACCGCAGCTGCGCGTGCCCGTGCGGCCCACCTACCGCAAGCTGCGCAACCCGGAGGGCTCGTACGGCCGGCTGAAGAACCTGCGCGGCACAGTGACGGCGCTCGTGCGCGATGAGCGCGTCGAGATGCCGCTCGACCGGCTGGACGAGGCGCGCGGGTACGCCGAGCGGGTGAGTGCGCACTGGCCCGGCGGAGCTGGCCGACGTCAGTGGAACACTGGGAACAGTGGGAAGTGGCACAAGCATTTGTGGATGGCCGGATGTGTGTTCAGCTGAGTGTGGAAGGTCTCGGATATAGATCGTTGGAGCGCTCGTCCGCGGCTTCTGGCTTGTGCTAAAATGTAGCTGTGGCAGCACTGGTGACAGCAATCACTGCTTTGGTCGCCTTGATGAATGGCTGATTTGCAAAAGTATGTGGTGTGCATTTCAAAAACTTTAAAGGAAATGCTGAATATTAAATGAGTAGTGATCAAGATGCATTTGTAAGCATACCCTTACTTAGTACACCTTTCATCTGAACTTGTTTGTTCTTCCTCAGCTGATTCAGGAAGCTGTAAGGCATGGTGACAAAGATCCTCATGTAATGGACATGGCAAACTTCTGGTTGAATGAGAAGCAACTCATTCATAAACTGTTCAAGGTAAGGCTGTTTATGTGGTAAATCAGGGGCTACGTTTTGTGTGAAAGGGGGTGTTTCACAGTTGTGTGGGGTTTTTAACTGAAATAGCCATTTTGAAGATCAACCAGTGCAGTTCACAACGCTGTCCTTAAGACCTAAACCTCTCTAGTTTCTGAGCAAGGCGCCCGCGAAGAAGTGCGGACGATTTCGAGGATGCTATTTCAAGGTGACCCAGGCACCCGTGACGCCATAATAATGCCATTCAAATCTTGTCATTCTATTGGTCATGCTGCAAACAAGACCACAAAAATATCATTATGGAGTCGTTCATGTCTAGCGTTCGTTAGCACGCTTTCCAGATATGACGACGTTCAGTTGGTTTTCATTTATTGTTGTGCAGGATACGATGACGCAATAAAACAATGACGATTGGAAGACTTACTAAATCGAGAAATGGTGTCGTCTATAGTAATCTTTCCTGCTTAAAAGTGTACCAATAGTTAATTGCTGCTATTGGTGAGCTTATTTCATCATATCTGCTGCTCACTCCAATGGCTTCGGACGTGAAACATACCCTTTAAGCATAGAGTATACATGCGATCTAATGCCTATCTCAAAATTTGTGAAGTGTTCACAGATGTGTGATGATTTTGGATGTCATGTGTCAGGTAGTAATCCCAGGTCTAAGTCATTGCGTCACGCGCGTCTGAACCATCGCACCACACCACATGCGTTTGAGGTGGTACGGATGCAGCCTGCATGGGTTTAAACGTCCTTACCTGTTGTTTCATCCATTGAATAGCATCACATTTATTCACCACCGTGACGAAAGGCTTCATTCTTTCGGCCCCGTTGGGCAGCCTTAATAACGTGCTTGCCGTCGGGTCACCGCCATGACGCGCATGCTTAGTGGGAGTGTCATGGCTTTGGACGAAGAGCCGCTGCGGTCAGAGCGAGGGCGTGTCCTTGGGGTCGTCTTCGAACGGAAGCGGGTTTGATGTCAGACCATGCTCGCCAAGCCTACGTCGTGGGCGCCGGTTGGCCCGGCGTTAATCCAGCAGCAGGACGACCCCCGCCTGCCCCGACCTCTCCCAGCCGCCACCGCGTTGTGTCGAAGCAAGTCGGCTAGGAAAGGTCTGGGACCCCACAATCGCCGTAGTGCTCTGCTCTGAGAAATGCTTCAATGTTTGTCAGATAAGTTACTGCCATATATAAAAACCCAATGAGCCTCATCTATACCTGCTGAATCGTATGCTGTGCGTGGTAATTGGCCTGGTTGGAGATCTTTGGTACCTACCAGCCTCTCAGCGGGTGAGACAGTGGGCAGAGGTGATTTTGTGGTAGTGCTGATGTCTTTCGTTATGTGCTGATTATGGGTCTCTTTATCCGGACTGTTATCATTTCTTGAAATGTTCTGCTGTTTTTAGGTGCTCGCTCCAAGATACGCTGAGTACAGGACCAGTTACACCAGTCTGCACCGATTGCCACCGATGTACAGGGAAAATGACAAGGGTGCACCAAAAGGTGTACTAGAATTGAAAGGTAAAGACTGGTATGTGTTGTGCATGTCGTTTGTCATAGTTTCGTGATATTTTATTTGAGATCCTCTCTATAATAAATTTCATCTACCATGCATTATCATGTCGTAGACATCAAGCCAATATACACGGTGTGGTTTACTTCACACGTGAAACTGTAAAACGAGCGGAAAAGCGCACTTATGTTCATGCGCACTTAAGGATGTCGAATTTCGTGGTGTGGTGAGAATTTATAGGAAGCCCATTAGCTGGGTGGTTGGTGTTGTTTTGACTTAGGGCTCTGGCGAAGGAAGGCCCTTTCACACACCTTGTGTACTGGCTGTGGACTCGCCGCCGATTCGGCAGTCAGTCAGCTGTGGCAGACCTGGAAGCGTCACATTTCAGTCTGCAGGCTCGCAAAGTGCCGGTAAAGAGAACCCAGAAGTAGTACTTACGCGTAGCAACTGAGTTCATCAGAATATTACGCAGACTGGTTTCATCAAGCGTTCCGGACCAGGTACTTAAGCTCTTGGCCCTCACTTTGTGACCGGGTGGGCCTGCATGGGGCACCTTTTAGTCTTCCATCGCTGACCGACTACAGAATTCGCAGTCTGCAGTATGCAGCTTGCAGTCAATCTGCAAAAGTTTTCGATATGCGATTGAACACTCTACGGATTCGCTCAGCGTGCTCTGTCCGTCCACAGAGAATCCGTTTCCGCCGCTGAAGCCGGACGCGCGCGCCAACCGACACCTCCTGCACAACGTACTGCTGGACGAGGCGCGCAAGCAGTACAGACATAACAAGTACCAGCAGCTGGCGGCCGAGGCGCGCGCCGACCTGGCGGCGGCCGCCGCCCCAGAGCCACCTGCCGGCCAGACGGCCGAACTACGGGATAGCGTGGCGTCCAAGGGGGCGAGTGACATGGCCGCGGAGAGCCCCGGCGCCGAGGGGACGGCGGCCACCGAACCTCAGCACCGGTAGCTGCGCGAGGTGTGACCCCGCTCTTGTACGGTGGACTGGAGGTAGCGTGTGATGATCATCCGACTTTAATCTGCTTCATATATCTCAGTCAGAGTCAGAGATACGTCAGTGAGTTGCCGCCGACAACGCGCAGGGAGCCACATTGACGCGTCTATTCTTGACTGGGGAAGGTGTTAGCAAGGCAGGCAAAATAAAGGCTGTGCATCAGCAAAAAGAACGCGTTTTCAGACCGCAATGGGTTAGTTGCGCGGTAATAACAGCGATGAAAGCGTTTTTGCGTCCGTCCTGGCATTTTTTGTTGCTGCGAGAACAAGTCCAACGTTAAAGAAATAGCATAGTGTCACTGAAACGTAAGTCTAACCAAAATGGAGAAAATGTCTACAGGCACCCGCCATTGCTTCCACAGGCATCGCCAGCCATCGCCGCCCATGCCATTATGCGCTACGAATGCGTGCGATCAAGTCATGCTACGGTTTGGCCTCGTTTTGGGGTTCGCGATATGGCACGCAAAAGTAGTGAGATATGCTGTAGTACCCAGATTTTGGCCATTGACAGCGTGCATACGCGGCGGCCGACTCCGAGGATGCTGGACAAAAATGAATATAACGTGCATTATCATGGTAACAAAACCTCAGTTCGTAGCATCGCTTCTTACGATGTGGTTGCACGATGGTCATCATTACGACGCAGTTGCGCGATGGTTACCATTGTGATGCGGTTGCGCGATGGTTACCATTACGACGCAGTTGCACGCTGGTTAATACGGTGCCGCTGCATGATAGTTACCATTTATAGCTGTGTGGGGCGCGGTTCGCTGCAAGATGCTAGACATGAGGGCAATACTTTAAGATCAAGATTATTTTTGACCCGTGTTTTCAACGACTCCGCGATCTATGCGTAAGAATCGTATGAATGAGCCACGAAATACAGTCTGAAAACTTGAGTTGTCTTCGCTTAGCGTATCTAGGCAAGCAACAATGTTTGGTGGCTTTTTCGTGTGAGCTGAGTGCCTCAATATATATATATATATATATATATATATATATATATATACATGTATTAATATAAGACATATAGTTGGCTGTGCATTGCATACATTATATTCCGCGTTTATGACTGGTCGATACGAAGACTTGAGCAAACGGCTAAGAAGGTCATGAACGCGGAATATTCTGTGATGTGGAACCAACACTGTGTTAGAGAAAACCTGCTCCCGAAATACTCCAATACTCCAACACACACACACACACACACACACACACACACACACACACACACACACACGCACGCACGCACGCACGCACGCACGCACGCACGCACGCACGCACGCACGCACGCACCACGCACGCACGCACGCACGCACGCACGCACGCACGCACACACACACACACACACACATACACATACACATACACATACACATACACATACACATACACATACACATACACATACACATACACATACACATACACATACACATACACATACACATACACATACACATACACATACACATACACATACACATACACATACACATACACATACACATACACATACACATACACATACACATACACATACACATACACATACACATACACATATACATATATATATATATATATATATATATATATATATATATATGCCGCCGAGCTGCCATACACTCTCACCGGCCGAGCTGCACGTGGCTACGCTCTCACTCCCAGACCGCCGCGGCCGAGGAGCACACGGCAATGCCGCTCAGCTCCCCGGCCGGCCCGCGACCGTACCGCGTCTGCGCCTCCGCCCTCGGGCTGCGCCCGGCTACCTTATCCAAGCTGTCCGCAGTCATCGGCCGTCTGAGCGCGTCCAGAGCTCTCGGCGCCGATGGTGTCCCTCTGCTGGCTGTCAGAAAGTGCCTCCCGGGCATTGTTTCAAACCTACTTCACCTGGTTAACCGTTCTATCATCTCATGTACTTTTTCCAATGTCTGGAAATTTGTTCGTGTCATTCCCGTGATTAAATCAGATGACTCAGCAGCTTTCAACAGCTTTCAGCGAATCGCCGTCCTCTGTGTGCTATCAAAAATTACCGAAAAAGTCGTCTGTGTTCAACTTGACTCATATCTGCTCAAATATCACGTACTTTAGCCGTCGCAGTACGTGTACCAGCCGCGTTTTTCTACAGAGGACGCCGCGCTCGACGCTGTCATATGGCTCGCATGGGCCGTCGACAACAGCCAAGTCGCGTTGCTCACGACGATCGAACTAAGCAAGGGCTTCGACGGTGTCCTGATCAAGCTGGAATGGTGTGGCATGACCTCTGGATGGTCCCGGAGCGCTTTGCACGATCGGAGGCAGGTGGCGAGCAACTCTGAGCCGTTACCGCTCTCACACGGTGTGCCTCAGGGATCCCAGGTCGGGCCAATCCTGTTCCTGATCTTTATTGGCGGCCTTCTCCAGCTTCCTCCCCATGGCCGCTGCCTATCTTAAGCTGATGAAACCCAGCCCCTCGATAGTTCCACACCCGACGTCATCGGCCTGTCCCACCTCAAATCCCGCGTCGATGGGTTCACGCAGTGCTTCTAAGTTTGGTTCCAATGAAACAGTCTAAAACTGGATCCCGAGAAGACCAACTTCACTCTGATCGGCACACGATTTTGCATTCAAAAGGGCGGCAACTTTCACGTAACCATTTCTGGTCGACCTACCCACCCCTTAACAACAGCAGTAAAGGTATTGGGTGTACTTCTTGACCAGCACCTGACCTGGGAAACGCCTGCATGAAAAGCCCTGAGAGGGTGCAGCGTGGCGGAGATGGTGCGCCAAGGTGACCGTGCCAACGTGTGCGGCGCATTGCATGCCAGCGGGGCGCCCGCCGTTCTGCATGTCATTGGGGCTTTACGACACACCCAGCTGCTGAGACTCTCTGGCGCCGTTTGCCTCTCACCCTGGCAGGAAGGGCGGGCACTGCGGAGAATCGAGCCCCGTACCTCTGGTTTGCCAGACGCGCAGTGGTTAACGCAGGCGCGTTAACCACTGCGCGTCCCAAATGGGAACGAAATTTGGGACCCCAGCCCCTCCCAGGGGGGGGGGGGCTGGGTCCCAAATTTTTATTGGCATGACTAGCCCATGTTCGTCTTAAAATATTCAAGACTTGGTCAGAATTTATTACTGATAAGAATTATGTAACATGGTTTTGAACATGCGCACTAGCAACTCCGAACATCTTCGAAGCCCAGCGTTGCAGTCTCCATGGGCCGCGCGTTGCCGGCCCCGTGGCTATGACACTAAGTGATAGCCGATAGGCAGACGAAAAAGAGATGCATCTTGAGGAAGATGGCTGGTGAACCAGGTAAAATGGCGTGCATGTTAAAAGTTCTGAAAAAATAAGGCAAACGCAACGTATATCTGAAAAAGCGCTGAGGGGGGGGGGTGCATTAGCATTGCTGGTCCGCTATCTTGAAAAGTGGGCGAGGAGGCATGGCCTCCTGGTCCCCTTTTCCAACACCCATGCATCATCATCAGCCTGCTTGTCTCACTTCAGCTGTCCGAAGTCTGAGAGCCTTCCCGCGGCAAACCCTGCTGGCGCTGGGTGGCGCTGCTCGCACGGCTGCCGCCTTGCTATTATTACTATTGCGAACCTTGGCGAAATCCAGCGACTGGCTATTCTAACGCCGCGTCAGTACATACTACATAGATAAACACAGAACACGCAACGCATGCAAATGAGACGCAACGCCAGCGATACACATACGATGTTATAAAACATGAGCGACTTGTGATACAACCGGTACCTGCACGTCATGGCCAGTTGGTCAATTTAGGTAAGCTCTTTGATGAAATGCATTGCTTTGCCCTTGAACTCATTAAAGTTTTTGCTCTGGCGCGTGGCAGCAGGGAGGCGATTCCACGCCGCCACGGCTCGACATGTCCTTTTCACGTGCTCTACGCGAGGGTGTTTTTTAGCGCTCGTCTGCAGTACACTTTCGTCATCGGTGGTTCTAGTGTGCCGCTGAGATACTTTAGATCGGCGCCTGATCAGATTACTGAAAGCCTGTGGCCCGTCAGGCACGTTAATGGCGCGATGCAAACGTAAGCAGTCGCGGTGGGTGACAGCCTCGTCACCTGTTCACTGTTCGGACACCGGCGGTGGCTGGCGCGGTCCGCCGTGACATTTCGGCGCGTGAGTGTGCGGGCACGAGCTGGTGATGGGTGCCAGTGGGTGACACGGCACGGATATATCGACGCCCGGGGCTGGTGACGGGCGCTCGCCAGGCGAGCCGACGCTGAGTCAAATGTCAAATGTGAGTCGAGGCGGCAACCAGAGCTGAGCTTGGACACCGCTTAGAGATGAGTCAATACACCTAGGAGAGGTGAACCGAGACACCTGGGAGAGTTGAGGCGATGTTCTTATTAGAGGCGAGCCAAGGCACATATTAGAGGTGGGCCGGGACACCTGGGAGAGGTGGACCGAGATACCTGGGAGAAGTGGGCCGAGGCACCTGGGACGGGTGGGCCGACACACCTGGGAAGGGTAGACCGAGGCACCTGAGAGAGGTGGGCCGGGGCACCTGGGAAAGGTGGACCGAGACACCTGGGAGAGGTGGACCGGGACACCTGGGAGAGGTGGACCGAGACACCTGGGAGAGGTGGGCTGGAGCACCTGAGAAGGGTTGACAGACGCGCCCGAGAGAGGTGGGCCGGGGCACCTGCGATATGTGAGTCGATGTACCTACTAGACGCGAGCCAATGCACCTATTAGAGACGAGCCCGAGCCACATGGGAGGGAGAAGCCAAGGCTACTATTAGGTGTGAAACAAGGTACCTGTTTCAGATGAGTACAGTGACATGTCAGAGGCGAGCTGAGGTTTGTATCGTCGCATTCTCGGTGTCGGGCGATGTGTCAGCCGCGCGCCTGTGCGGCCGGCGAGCTGTATCTCGCTAGGTGCGCCACGGTAAGCCCGACAGCTCGGCTTGCAGGCGGTAGCGACTTCAGCGAACAGCTGAGAGGCCCTGCAGCGCGTTTCGGGTGAAGCCGTGCAGGTCCGGCTCTGGCGCAGTCAGTGGAGGCAGTGGCCGGGGAAAACCTGTCCACAACAGGCCCAGACTGCCGCACAACCACAGCCCATCGCACCGTCCCAACGTCGGAGCATCTTGCAACAGTTTTCGACATCTGTGAGCTCCTAAAGTATGCTTCTGATACTTTCAGAAGCTTGTGGCTACGGCATCGAATTCATTCGTCTTCTGGAACAAAAATAACAGCATGCTTTGGCACAGGATGCATGCTACGCAAACGCTACTAGTGCTGTTCATTGTTACCAACATCTTCTCAGATTACATTGTCTTTCCCGGTGACACCTCAGATACAAATGCAAAGAGATTAAAGGTGATCAGCTTACATCAACTCATTTGTCACGACCAGCGAGACCAATGGCCGCCAGACTATAATATATATAGATATAATAGACGCCAGACAAATGGCCTCCCAAACTATATGACCTGGGAATCAGCGCACGAACGGAATGCTGTCTCCGTGAATCCCCTTGCCTGGGTTACTAGTTGACGTTGACAGACAAAACGTGGCGTGGCAAAGGTTTGCATCGCATTTATTCGTAACGCATTTCTTCGTACGCAAAACTTAATACGTAAAATATTTGTATCACGCTTCCTTGTGCGCAAATATTCGTGGCAGTAGCCCCCGTGCACCAATCGTCGTATGTGAATCTTCGGATCCAAAAAGCATGGATCCGCAACTTTGGTGTACGCGAAGCTTCCATGTGCAATTCGTAGCATGACACTTCTCAGTACGCGCGGTTGTTCCGATTGCGTTCCTCCGGTTCGCATTTTTTTATGCACCCGCGGCTTTATCCACATCGCATTTGTTTCGCGTGGGAGTTCTTGGTGTGAAACATGGAATATCGACGTAGAAACAC